CTCACTTCTCCAACAACTTGGTGTCTGAGAGTACAGTGTAAGATACCTCAGAATAACAGAATTTCAATACAAGAGACAAACCTGCTGTCTGACCAGCTTAAATAATAATACCACTAAAGACATACTCAACGTGTCTTCTGAAATGGTGTGGGAAATCTTACTCTTTCTAAAAATTTCATAAAAAACTACCAACAATGGTACTTTGATCATAGTAGGAGTAACTGCACAGTGTGAAGTCAGTTCATCTGAAGTAACTGTAAGTGTAAAAACCTTTGCCTTACAGACATATATATCACTGACACTCTCTCAAGCCTTCATTTCCTTACTTTCAAAACTAAACTCAAAGGCTACTTTAAGAGCCAGTATTAGTTACCTAATTTTCCTCTGTTCACTTGAGTTCACTGAGAATGTGCTAGGTAAAATGGATTTCCACCAGATGGAGACAAATTCATAAATTACTGTTTTACCTCTTCACTTGAGGCTTCCTAATCCAGCAAGTGCTGAATACAGTATGCTGTCAGTGTTGAAAAATCACCACGTATTTACCTAACGTGCAGCACTCAGGTGTCCCGCCCTCCTTCAGGGCCTGTAACAAAAACCAGATGACTCTTCCTCCCTTTCTGCAAGAAAGTTGAGCAGGGTTCTATGACCACTTTTATTCCAGCCAACAATGAAATCATCCTCAACTTTAGTCTCAGAGGCCAGGTGGCATTTGTGCTTTGTCTTTCACAACACCTAACTCAGGATCCTACATATACACACCAGCCATTTTATCTATAGATCTCCTAGTTACTTCATTTAAGGTTGCTTTAAAAGAAAAAGAAAAAAAAAAATTTTTATCCCTGGCTGCTGTGACTCCATGGATTGAGTGCTGGCCTGAAAACTGAAAGGTCACTAGTTCGATTCCCAGTCAGGGTACATGCCTGGGTTGCAGGCCAGGCCCCCAACTGAGGACATGTGAGAGGCAACTGATTGATGTTATCTCACATAACTAATGTTTCTCTCCCTCTCTTCCCCTCTCTAAAAATAAATAAATAAAATCTTTAAAAAATAATAAAGAAATGATTTTATTTATTTTTAGAGAGAGGGAAAGGGAAGGAGAAACGAGGGAGAGAAAATCTATCACCTGCCTCTCACACGCCCTTAAGTAGGGACCTAGCCTGCAACCCAGGCACATGCCCATGACCAGTAATTAAACTGATTCCTCTGATTCCTAATCAGAGGGTTAAGCAACCCTCTGATTCTGTCTGGTGCTTAACCCACTGAGCCACACCAGATAAGGCAAGTTTGCATTTTTTATAAGAAGAAAGTTGATGGCACGAAACTTTGTGCCATAGTCTTTAGGTACTGGGCTCCATTGTAATGTGCTAACTGTGAAGTATGTCAGAAACTGAAGCTAAATTTTAAATATCTATTCTTTTTAACAATGTCAACTCTGTTCAAAAACTAGGAATGGTTTCATTCATAGTAAAATGGATAGCCAATGTGACAATTCATTAAAACATCAGGTCAAATATCCCGTACATTAACTTCTTTGATTTATGCTGGCAGCTGTCTTCTTTGCTGAAACACACCAGTAACTGGTCAGTCCTGGACTTGGCCTCAGGTGATACTTAATTTTAGGTTGCTAAAGGCTTTCCTTTAATAGGCCAAACCTACTTTCTCAACTGCACTTGGGAAGAATTTTTATTTTCTTTATGAATGATGGAGCCCTTTTATTTGCTTTGAGGGCAATGTATGATTTCAGGAATTAATACAAATGATGTCTTATAAATTGATGTTTTCAAAAATAAAGACCAGTATTGAGGGGATGTTTTCAATTGAGGACACCACGATTGAAGTGGCTGGCTGGGTAGAGGACCTTCCTCCCTTACTAGGGGGCCTCTTCTAAGACCCCTAAGTGCTGTAAACAACAAGCTGCCGTCTTTTGCCCTGACCAGTGTAGCTCAGTTGGTTGGGCGTCGTGCCTCAAAGAGAAAGATCATGGGTTCAATTCCTAGTCAAGGCACATGCCTGGGTTGCAGGTTTGGTCCCAGATCAGGACATGCAAGAGAGGCAACCAATCAATGTTTCTCTCCCTCTCAAACTAAAATCTAAAAACAAACAAAAATCCCAAACTGACATCTTCCTGTAGCAGCGTTCATCTTCAGAAAACAGAACCTAGGCTCTGGGGTTACATTCTAGGACCTGCCACATACTGGCTATGACCTGCCACATACTGGCTATGCCAACTCAGGCTGATTGTCGGTTTGTCATATCTCTGTGGAACTGGGCTCCTGCTACAACACAGGGTCATTTGTGAGCAGTCAATGTGCAAGATATGAAGAGCACCTAGAAGTTCTTTGGCATGTAACTACTATTTAAAGTATGTACTATAACCATTACCATTACCTCTATTAATAAAAGTAGGGTTGGTTCCAAAAACAATATAGCTCTGAGTTCTTACAATATCTACAGAAGTAAGTACCTTCATAATGAACTTCTATTAAGAACCACCTTGTAGTTTAAAATATCATTATTAACATGTGATTATTACTTCAATGACCTAATGCTTTCCCTCTTTGGAGAGCAACAACTTGTAAGTCATCCACTGTTCTTTTCATTGTGAATGCCAGAAAACATAAGAAAGAATATTGGGCTGTCTGAGAGTTGTACACATTTCTATTCTACTTGGGTCCTCTTTTAAGCTTATACTAAAAAGAAACTAAACTTGATAAATATGCTATTATTATAGAAGACTTGGTATGTATTGAATACTAATAGAACCACTGAATCCAAGTAGTAAGATTTCAAACAATAACCACATTAAAATATCTAGAAAAGCTTGGAGGTAAAAAAACCCCCTCCAGTTTCACCTTTTGAAAACAAGCTACAAAACAGTTTATTAGAGGGTGTGACCTTATACCAAAAAGATTTGTAAGGTATGAAAGAGGCAAAGAAAAAAGTGGTTTCTGAATTCTTTCCTCCTTCTTATTGGTGTCCAGATGTCTGTTCGAACCAAGCTTTATACAGAAGGAAACAAGGGTGTCGTTTCCTTTGTGACAGAGAGTTAAAACAGAAATTCAATTTAATATTGGGTTGGCCAAAACTTTGAAACAATTTTGTTAGACTGTATTCTAACAGCTGTCATAACAGTGTGCATTAAAAAAATAAAAGTCAAAAGTGGTGAATTTTGTGTAGCAATTTTAATATTTAAGATGGAAGAAAATAAGCAACATTTTTGGCATATTATGCTTTAAAATTTTTAAAAAATAAATTTTTATTTATTTTTAGAGAGGAGAAAGGAGGGAGGGAAACATCAATGTGTGGTTGCCTCTTGTGCGCCCCCTTACTAGAGACCTGGCCCAAAACCCAGGTATATGCCCTAGACTGGGAATTGAACTGGCCACCCTTTAGGTCCCAGGCTGGCACTCAATCCACTGAACCACACCAGCCAAGGCTGCTTTATTATTTTAAGAAAGGTAAAAATTAAACTGAAACACAGAAAAAGATTTGTGCAGTATATGGAGAAGGTGCTGTGACTGTTTGATCATGTCAAGTGGTTTACAAAGTTTCTAGGTACTACTGACATTTCGGTCAAATAATTCTTTGCTGTGGGGCTGTCTTATTGCAATGGAAGATGTTTATTCTGGCCTCTACCCATTAGAAGCCAACAGCAAGAGATAGCCAACATATTTAAAATATCCAAATCAATAAAGTTACTGGTGAAAATGTAAAACATGTATTTTCTCATGGAAAAAACTAAACGGACTTTTTGTCTAAACCAATAATTGCATCATGAGTAGTAAGAAAGCACCTGGGCTACAACTCTAGCCTACTTATGGAAATATTCCAAAAAAAACAATCAGATGAAAAAGCCACAAACAAGAACATGTATGAATGACTCATGAACATGGATAAGGGAGAAAGGATTGACCACGGGTGAGAGGGGTGGGCTGGGTGCAAAATGGAAAAAAAAAAAGAAAGAAAGAAAAAAAAAAGAAATTGGGACAACTGTAATAGAATAAACAATGTTAAAAAAACAAAACAAAACAAAAAATACACCCTACAAACTTTGTGGTAATCACTTCAAATAATTGTTTCTGTATTTTTGGAAACCCTATCATAACACATACACAAAACACTTGCTGTATGAAAAACTGCCCTGCAAAATACAGATCTACCTATATAATTGCTTTAAAAGTTACAGATTTAGAAAACTGCACAGAACTTCATATTTTCAGGTCAGCTTAGCTTAAAGAAAAAACATAAACATAGGAGTCAAAAGTTTTGTTTTTAGATCCCCTCCCTTTACTATGTGACCTATGGCAAGGTGCCAGATCTGTCCAGGCCTGTTCTTTCATTTGTAAAATGAAAGTATTTGTTTCCTGCCTGCCTCCCCCAACGCCTCCCCCAACCCCCCAACGGATGGTTTGTGAGGCTTCAATACAATGTGAAGCAACTCTGAAAAACTCTCTTACAAGTGTTGGCATAACATTATTAATAAACTCAAGGGGATGCAGCGGTAATAAACATTTTTCCAGGACTTTGTTCAAATTTTTTTCCAAGATAATAGTATCACCACAACAGACTTTGGGCAAAATGTCCCCCAAATCTTAAGATTATAACTGTATGTTAGAGACCTAATAATTAACCTGGAGAGGAATTGCATTAATCTGAGTTGTGCTCTTTGACTGTCTTTAAAAAAATGTAGTAGTAATTTGGGAGGGAGCACAGCCAGGCTTATGTACTAAAGACACAGAGGGTAAGTGTAATGCTACACCACCATCTACGTCATAGGTCATTCTATTGGAATTATGAACAATAAACTTATCTTTACATATTTCAATTATTTTAAAAGAAAGCAAGCTGAAGGAATTTTGTCCACATTAGGACCTTCTCACTGAAGTACAAAGATTCAACCAAATAAAACCTATATCCTAACATAGGTCTAAAAGAAAAACAAAAATAACAACAACAAAAAAAGAAATTCTATTCCTAATATTCAAGGTTATACTCACTGAAAGCAGAAAGTTTGTATTTCCAGGGTAACAGCTACAAAAGAGGGGAGCTACTTTGTCTCTGAAATGAATTTTCTTCCTTCTGATTCCATTCCTTCTTCCTGTACCTAAGATGGAAATGCAGGTGTAGTGAATAAACAAAATCAAGGTAGTGTAGAGGTAAGAGATGGTTTTTGAAAAACTACAACTCAATAATGCAATTTTAAAAATATTTTATTTATGTTTAGACAGAGGGGAAAGGAGGGAGAAAGAGGGACAGAAATACCCATCCATTGCCTCTTGCAAGGCCCTAACCTGGGACCTGGCCCAAAACCCAGGCATGTGCCCTACTGAGAATCAAACCAGCAACCTTTCAGTTTGCATGCCAGTTCACAGGCCAGCGCTTAATCCACTGAGCCACACCAGCCAGGGCTCAACCATGCAATTTCTAAAAAACAAACAGCCAAGGAACAGGCTTGCCTTACTTCAAAACATTTCAAAATCTAAATAAAAGGCGGCAATAGCAGTCCCTTGTACTGAATCACCAAGAAATGAGAACATTGAAGATCAAAGATTTTACTGAACCTGAACATGAGATACACATTAAAACTTTCTCCACCATTAATTTAGACCATAACTTGCTCTAAGGCCAAGATATATCATTTCAAGGCTCTCCACTGGTTTCAGAATACAAACATATTCCCAAATCCTCTGCAAAGATGGTGCTGAAGAATTACTGGATAGTATGCCAGTGCCAGGTCCTGAGGACATACCATCTTGTTATTCCAGATGGAGAAGAAAACTGTTAGTAACAGCCATCTATCCTTACCCTTAGTGTTGCATAAATCTCTTCACCAACTCTCCCCACCCCCTATTAGTAGAGAACTGAGCTATTCTCAAAGATGTAAGCTGGAGACTCCGGCCCCACCCACTCTATCCAAGAAGAGGGCAGTGAAAGAGGATAGGCCCACCGGGATAAAAGGGTGAGTGTGTCAAAGTGAGGAGTTCCGATAAGGTCGCGGAATAGAGAAGGGCAGGGAATGAAGGGCAAACCCCACAACCTGGGATGAAGAAACAAAGGAAACGGGAGCTGTGGGTAGGTAAGGAAGGAGAGACTGAAAGTGGGGTTGGCAAAAAAAAAAAAAAAAAAAAAAAGAAGAGAAAGAGTGAAGCAAGAAAAGGACCAAGCAGAGCGGGGAAGAGAGAGACCGGGCGAGCAGGGGCAAAGCAGACCAAGAGAAAAGGCGAAAAGTAAGAAAAAAGGGGGTTGAGGAAGGAGGAGTACGGAGAGCTGGGAGGAGGAGTAGGGTAGACAGCCCAGCGACGGGTAGGAGCAGCGGGGCCAAGCCGCTGGGGTGGAATCCAGACGCCCGACTGAAGGGGGGGGGGAGGGGAGAGGAGGAGCGAGGAGGGGGCGGCGGGTGGGGCCGCCAGGAGGCGCCGGAGACCCCCAAACTTTACCGGGACCCGAGACTGTTTACGCTAGAGCGTGAGGAAAGGAGCAGGAGCCTCGCCTCGCCGCCTAGGGCAGGGGCTACCGCCCACCACTCCCAGTAAAGCCTCAGACCACCGCCCTCAGTAGGGACACGCGGGCCGCAGGCCTCGCCCGCATGCCGCCTCCTTTCCCCGACGCCCAGGGTCCCCTAACCCACGCTGCCCAGACCGTCACCTTGACCCCAGGGGCCTGCAGCCCGGTTGCTCCGCTTCCCGGGCTGAGGAAGCCCAGCGGAGGAGGTGCAGCCCCAGTTCCTCCCACCTTCTCTCTTGGTCCAGGCGCAGCCGGGGCGGACGGCACCTCTCGCGCTCTGTCTTCTTCTGCTTCATGGAGCCATGCGCCTGGGTGGGGGCTCCCGAGAGAAGTGGGCCCGCGAGCGGACCGGACGCGCCGCACGGACGAGGCGGGGCAAGGAAGGCCGGCGGGCCGCGGCCGAACTGGAGGTATTCCCGGGCAGCTGGAGGACTGAGTAGTGCCTAGACCAGGCGCCCGGTATCCCAGCAGCCACCGGAGGCAGTGCGGTAATGGAGGTCGGATGTAGGGAGTTCTCCAGTAGACTACACGCCCTCTAGGCGATCTACGAAAACGAACGAGATCTGGGCGCCGACGGAGCACACGTCACTGCTGTCACGTGGTCCCAGCCCGCGCACTTTATTGGCTAGAGTTGAAGTTAGCTGGCTGTTTTGCAGTGGTGGGGCCCAATCCTGGACAGTTGGAATAAAGAGGGACCTGCAGAGAAGAGCGTAAAGAGGCTGTCGCCGCAAATAGTCGGACGTGCTAGGGGGCCGCTGTCACGCCGGGAGGCGGAGCGTACGCCAGACGTCTCGGCTACGTGAGCGTGGGAGAGAGCGGTGGGCCGGCTGGGATTTGCAAAGCAGGCTCAGTGGGCGGTGGCTGCGGACGCTGGCTTGGGTTTTTGGCCTGGCTGCTCTGCTCTACCCTATGTTAGGGCACAACCCTTAGCAGTCCACGGCTTTTCTTCCCGAGCGCCGAGGCTCACGTTGCCCTACCCGACCCGTCTGTGGCCTTCCAAAGCAGCCAGGAAAGAGCAGCTCTGACCAGCTTTAAATCAAGCCGACCATCTGGCCAGCGAAGTCCTCCAGGAGGGTCCCAGGCCCGGTGCCAGCTTCCTAATGGCCCAGGAAGGGCAAACTGCATTAATTTTTCGGGGGTTGTCAGTAGTCCGTATCTTTGCCTTGAGCCTCAGAACTTCTAGGCTGGAGATGACTTCAGTGGAATTACCCACGGTACAGGATAACTCAGTAAAGCGACTAAGCACATTCCTCAGCGCCAGCAGGGCAAGGACCTCAAAAAGAACAATAGAAAACATTTTTTAAAAATTAAGAATAAATTATTTTAATTCCACGTACTTATTATTTGAACTGATGACTTAGCACTTCTATTTTTAATCACAGATGGAGTTGCACTAAAAGTCTTTCTTGTTTTAAAGCAATGCCAGTCTTATTAACAACACTTGAGCCCACAGACTGTTTTATGTTTTGCTATTCTGTTTATGCACAAAGGAATCCTTAACAGGTTTGTCCTCAGTGAGCAAAGAAAAGTAGTATAAAAATGCAATATGTACTCAAGTATAATATCTACTACTACAGACTTTTACGTAATTGTAGGCTACAAAAACTGAGGAAACAATGTCTGACTGGTTCCTCATGGACCTGGGACTCTCAAAGAGAACATGGTAAATAACCAGAGAGAAAGGAAGAGGCTGTGGTGCTTTGTATAACAAGTGACTTCAGTTTTTTTAAAGTGATTTCTATAGCAGTCTTCATAATTCCTCTCAGTCTTGACATGCTTTATCTGCTGTTGAGGCCACATTTTCGTTTCCAACCCAGCTACCTGAAAATCTACAAATTAGATTGTTCATATAGCTGAAAGCGAGGAATATAGGAGGCAATATCCAGAGGTCAGTTTTTTGGTTTGTTTCTGAATAACACTGAATCCTGACTTATAATAATCAGAATCAATTTCAAGTAGTGAAGGTCTTTCCAGCTGAAAGTCTTAAAACATGGCATGTGAAAAAGGGCCTTAACTATTGCTCCAAATGTAGTACCAGATTGTCATTTAACAGCCTGCAGGTAAGAGCTATTGGTCCCTGATTATCAGGCTGTGGGAAGGTAAATCATGGAACTAAGCTGGACTTGAAACACTCCAAAATTGAAATGGAAACCTTGCTTTGTGCTGTCAAAAGGGCATTTGATTAAGAAGCAGGACTTAGATGCTGCTACTGTTGCTTAATACCAAAAGGCAAAGGTTGGGATTTTTAAAAAGTCACTTTGGGGTCACCTCACATCAGCAAGCAAATGATGTAAAGGTAAACAGAATCAAATTATGAACTGGAGGAAGAAACCAAGGGCAATATATGTCTTATTTAGGAGACGCTGTGTCTTATTTATATTCTCATCTCCTACACATAATAAATCTGGTTGTACACAGTAGGGATATAATTATCTGTGGCCTTAATGAATAAGTGAAGAAGAAAGCCAGCAAGCACTGGGAAAATAATACAGATGGGAAAGGTGACCTGCAGAAAAACTAGCTGGTCCAAGCTCTCTACGTGGTTCTGAAATGTCATTCCAATCTATGATATAGCTGTACCACTGTTTACCAAAAACTACCTCAAAACACATCATTTGCCTCCCTAATGCCCTGAGTGGTTAAAAATATATGGTAAATGTATCTTATTTACCATAGATCTTATTGTTCTCACCACAAAAAGAAATGATAATTATAGGACATGACAGAGGTGTTAGCTAACTCTATAGTAATTAATAATATTGCAACATATGCATGTAGCAACTCAGTGCACTGTAACTTAAATTTATACAATGTTATGTTAATTATATCTCAATTTAAAAAAAGAATATATGGTAATTATTGAGAAAGTGCACTCTGGCTCTGGCCAGTGTGGCTCAGTGGATTGAGTGCTGGTGTGGGAACCAAAAGGTCACTGGTTCAATTCCCAGTTGGGGCACATGCCTGGGTTGTGGGTCAAGTCCCCAGTTGGGGGCATGCGAGAAGCAACTGATTGATGTATCTCTTGCACACCAATATTTTTCTCACTTTTTTTCTCCCATCCTTCTCTCTAAAAATGAATAAATAAAATCAGGAAGGAAGGAAGGAATGAACGAATGAACCAACGAACGAACTTTGGAATCACAATGCATGGATTCAGATTCCAGCCCTGACACTGAATATTCGTGAACCTAGGGCAAGTTAATATGTCATTGACTTGGTTTATCATCTGTAAAATGGGTTTTGTAGCAGTATCTAATTCAGGGTTATTATGAGATTTAAATAAGTTTATACACATAAAGCTGTTATAGGAATAGCATGTCAAAAATGCTAATAGCTGTGAACTTCATTAGTAAATATTAGGATGTTGTGATAAGGGTGAAATTAGCCAGCACAGCAGAAACACACATTGTTTTTGATTTGCACTTTGGAGAAGCAATGCATTGAAGCACTAAAGGCATTTGCCAATCTGAGTAATGAAATAAGATTTACAGGAGATATTGTTGAGTGATATAGATTTCATCTATTTTACTTTCCAGGTTGACATGAGTCTGGTCTTGGTAGGAGATAGAATCTGAATCTATGTTCCAGTTTTCACAAAAGGCAGGCACAGAGAAGTTGTAATCTACAGAGATAGTGCCTGTCTCCTGTGTATCTTTCACAAGATAAGTCCAGTTGGGCACTTAAAAGGAATGATGAATCCTTATTTGATTAAAACAAACCTTTATCTATATATATAAATGAGTACATCGGTTATTTCAGAAATATAAAGTAGTTTATTTAAACTAATAAGACCCACATTATTTTGTTTGTGGTTAAGTTAGACCATATTACTCTGATAGGATGTATTTTAAACTATGTATGTCACCTGGGTACACGATTTAACATTATTCCATGAAAAGACCATTATACGCAAAGTGGTGCTTAAACACGAAAGGGACTGAGAGACCAAAGAATGAGGCAAATGAATTTAGTTTTTTGGTTGATACATTTGATAAGGAACTTATGTACAGAAATGTGGTCCCTGGGCACAGCAGGATGTTCAGATCTCTATAGCTTTCACCCCCTAGACCACTTGTTTTTCTCTCCTGACCTCTTAAGAGATGGACCTATATGCTAGGAAAGGAATGTATGGGTGATCAGAGGGAACAAAGGGACCAGATACAGGGAGGCTCTGGCACCAGGGTGAACTAAGAGCTGTATAACATAAAGTGTGCCTCACCTCAGAGGAAGGGTAAATGGAAATTCCATAATTAGCCAGAAGCCTCTACACATTCCAGAGTCCCCCTGGGAAAAAGGAAGCAATCAAAATTCAGGTTTATTCACTCAGAAGTTAAGATGGTAGGTGAGCTTCAAGACAGAATCAGCTCTGTCCATACAAACTTCAAAAAGTTTCTAAACTTCTGCTCGTATTACCAGTGAAATAAATGAAACCAAGTTGGAAAGCTGAAGTCACGCATCCATTTGTTCTATAAATATTCCTAGATGTAGGAATTTCCAGCAGCTCAGAAGGCTCCATTTGTACCTCTGCCCATCTCCCCTTTCAAAAGGTAATTATTCTGACATCTGTCACCATAGGTTAGCTTTGCTTATTCTTGAATGTCATAGAAATGGACTTATACAGTATGTATTCTTTCATGTCTGTTTCTTTCAACATTATGTTCCAGAAATTTACCTCTTTGGTTATATGCAACTACAGTTCTTTTTCTTTACTGCACAGACTACTATGCCATTCAATACATATTGAATGAATACTAAATACATATTGAATGATTTTGCCTGAATTTGTTTATTCAACATTATTTTAAAACAATCTCGTTTCTTTCTCTGAGTCTAGAGATTTAAGTTTTTTTTTTGTAAGAGCTCATATTATTTTGCAACCTCAATGTAGTTCATCCTCACATTGCAGTAGTTAAAATGGCAACTGAATCAGTGAGGAAAAAGGTATTTCAGAGATAAAAATACATCTTCATTTGTCAAGCCTCAGGGTTATGTCATCTGTCCTCTCTGCCATAATCTTGCTTGTAGGGAACTTCATCTTCCTGACATTCCGTAGATCATCACACTGATTCATTACATTGGTAACATCTTGTTGAATGGACCTAGTGAGCAGGAACTGGCAAGTACCTTAGATGCTTTAGAAAGTCACATTTTATTTGTGGACACCGAGAAAAAAAAGATTCATTTGATGTGAACCCTGAGAAGGAATTTATCTGCTGAGTTATACACTCCATGGTCAATCAAGGACCCATACACTATGAATAATAAGAGCATAACAGTAATTTGATGACAGGGGCTTCTCATTACTGTATGTATCAGGAAAACCTTCACACTGAAACCTCCCACACTATGCCACTCTTGTTTATGCAATTTGAGTTGACCACTGCAAGGAAAACTTGGTTTTGTCTTTTGACCAATGGACTGAGATCTGCCCTGTCCAATCAGAACTGCACAATTTGAAAGCCTCATTTACATAAAATGGACCTAATTGAGAATCTGAGAGGGAGCCTTTATTATAAAAAAATGTGGCCTCCCCTTTTTTTCAGTGGAACACAAATTTAGGTTGCTACCTGAATTTCTTGTCTCCTGGCTGCAGTTCCTTTTTGCTCAAATACTTTATTACAGTCTAAAATGAATTTTGTTTTGCAGTAATATGAGTGGTGGAATTCTAGCATGATTGTCCTCCCATTCCTGGTGCTATAGTACATTCATGCAAGGTATCAACAAGAGATGATTATTTTCTACTGTCTCCTCTGGTGGTTCTGTCTATCAATTTAAGAGACATTCAAGACTTCCAATCAAGATGGAGGTGTAGGCAGACAACCTTCACCTCCTTGCACAACTGTAAGAAGGATTACAACTAACTTCGAAACAAAAAACACCCAGAACTGCCAAAAAATTGAACTGTATGGAAGTCTGACAACCAAGGATTTAAAGAAAACATTCATCCAATGAGTAGGAGGGGCAGAGATGGGGAACTGGGGCAGAAAGGACATGTGGTGGCAGTGAGGCGGAAGTGAAGAGGTGGTGGCAGGCGGCTGGCAGAACAGTTTGCCCCACATTAGGGATACCTGGGGAGCTAGCCACAGGCCAGACCGCACAGCCCAGGGTTCCAGAGCTGGGAAAATACATTCTAAAAACTCCTGCCTGTAAAAAACCAGTAGGGAGTTGGATGGCGGAAGAAACTGCAGGTCTCTCAGGAGAGTCCATTTAAAGGGCCTGCAGGGTCCTACAACATATGCAAACCCACACGCTCTGAGTATCACCACCAGGGGAACAGCTAGAGTGGTGCCATTCACATAAGCGACTGGAAGCAGGGCAAGTGCCAAAGAAGCCTCTAGCAGTCAGGCACCATTATTGCCTTCTCTCTGACTCC